GGATTTAAACTGCCTTGCTGTCCCAACTTACATATTTTTTTCTCTTCCTCTACTCCAATCCCCCCCGCCAAAAAAAAACCTCCCTTGCCAAGCAGAAATGGCCAAAAAAATGAGAATTTATTTTTTATCTGAGCAAATAAAGAAATATATTTTATGTTTAGACAAGTAAATAAGTGACACTTTTTAAAAATGCAATATAAAATTGACTTTAGCTTTTAGAACAGCTGAATATGTTGTTGAGAAAGCCATTTGCTGAATTATGGAACATAACATTTTTATTGATGACTGTAGGTTAGAAATTTTGGCATTGTGAACAGTGTAATACAATCTACTGCCCTAACAAGAAGCTGAATGAAATACAGATTATACGGTAAAATTGTAATGCATCATTTGCTATTAGTGGACTGGTAATAATTACCAGTTTCAAAGCTGCTTTTTTCCCCCATGTAATCTTTACTCTCTGCTGTAACAGCCTTTCTCATTGACATTATGATTATACCAGCTGCCCTTCTGATCCAGAATATCTAGTTGATGGGAATGCTAAAATGCAATTACAAAAACTGTGTTGTATTCTCATTATAAGACACAGTGCTATTTCCACTGACCTAATACATAAACCAGCTAAGCAGGAGAGTATTGTATTGTTAGTAGACTGGAGGCTGATGGCATCGCTTGCTGTAAGAGGTTTTTTTAGTTTTCAGAAAAAAAATAAAATTAGTTGCATTGCCCATTGCCTTTACATTGTGTTCCCTAACTTTAAGATTGGTCTTTCGTCTAGAGCCTTGCCCAAATCTTACCAACAAGCTTATGAGAATCACACTCATGTTTCTCTCTTTTCAGAAGATGTATCCTTTTATTTGTCAGGGTCTCCAATGCCCCTGTGCCACACATGGTTCATTAAAATGCTGGCACTGGCAAAATAATGAAATGTTAAATATTGTTCAAAACCTTTTTTAAGCAACCAAAATGCTAAACACCTGCCAGCAGTGCCTGATTCTTTCTCATTTTTTAAATCACCTAATTTAAATTGTCAGAAATTGACACTTAAAGAAGGTTTGGGGGAGCGGGGGGGGGATATAAAGTAAATTAGAAGGCATTACAGAAATACATATTGCAGTAGAATACCATTGTAAATCTAGTTTGTTCTTCAAAGACTAATACAATATGCACTTGGAGGGGCATTCAACAAAATACATATTCTTGTTTCCTCACATGAACATACACTATTACCAGTGGTGGGTTCCAGATCCCGTTCCAATCGGTACGGTTGGAACGGGCCCGGCGTCACCCCCATGGACACGCACAGTGTGCACGCACACGTGCATGGTGCTTGCATATATTGTAGCTGCCAGTGACACTTCCGCAAGCCTCCGTGACGCTCAAGCTACTTGTCGGAGTGTCGCGCAGGAGCTGTACACGCTGTGCGCGGAAGCACCAAAGGCTTTAAAGGAGAGGTAAGGAGCTTGTGCGGGTGGGTGGGCCCTCTGGAGCACCGTACCGGAACGGTACCCAGTGCTCCAGGCAGGCTCCAGTACGGCCATGCCGGGACGTACCACCTGCAACCCACCACTCACTATTACCTGGTAACTTTTGGCAATTTATGCATTATTAAAACAATCCAGTCATCAACTTCACAATCGGGTCATATAATGCAACTTTATACAGATTTTAACTGTTGGCATGTCTTGCTCAACACTCTCTGTTCCTGACTAGCATATTTTCAACGATTTCAGCCAAGGTGTTTCCTGTAATGCAAATTCTTTACACTATAGAGAATTGCTGGAAAATAGATTTTGGACTATGCCCTAATAATCAGATGCGTTTTTATAACTACAGAATTGGGAGACCCTTTTTTATGTTGAGGTGGTTATTGCTATAGGGAAGCAATTATGGCTGATTCAGGAATTCTGGGACTTGAAGTCTACAAGTCAAAAAAGGGCCGTAGTTTCCCACTTCTGTCTTAGATGAAATGAAAGGACTGTTGTGGGCAGCCAGTTGAGAGAACAGGAAGTGGGAAGTAGGCTCTGCCCATCTGCACCTTCAAATATCTGCTTCATTTTACACAGTGATGGAGTTGGCCTTGTTTAGGCTTCACTTTTCTGCTCCATCAGTTCTATGTTTATGAGACAATTATGTTCACACAGCAATCCTTTTTTTCAGAGAACGTGTAAAGTAAGACATGTTCTTAGCCATTTGAGTTTGTATATCAAGGTTTTATAATATTTGTGTGTGGACTGTGTCCTCAGCACTACTGGACAAGATTAATGAAACCAGTAGAAGCAGATTTCATTTTTTTACTTCAAAATAAGTTTGCTGGAAATATGGGACTGTATATTCTGACACCTCTCCATCTTTGTAAAGATTTTGGACTCCTGTTAATCTCTTTCTTACCAGAAGAATTATTAGTTTATGAAGTTCCATAGGCTCCATATCCTGCACTGGTGTATTTAAGGATGCCTGTTCACTACAGTATAAGGAATACTAGGAAAACAGTGGTAAAATAATTTAAGGCAGAAAAGTTAGAGTATATCAAAAAGATTCCTAGAAAACTACCCAAAAATTCAAGAAAACTAAACTGCCAAGCTAGATGCAAGGTTTAAATCAACTCATCAAGGATGAAGTTGTTCTTATTTCTGCCAGGTTTGATTTTCAAACTGTTAAATGGGCAGAAGCTGGGACAAATAATGGGAGCTCACTCTGTTGCACAAAGCTTGGGTCTCGAATCCTGGCAGTCAGCTCTCCAGCTGACAAACTCAGCTTCTTTAACCGCTTAGCCATTGTGCCCCAAGACAGACAGAGAGACATAGATATAGATTACAAGTCAGCAGTCTTTTATCGTTTTATTTTAGCCGCTTGCATATAAACACAGGAGCACCACATACACATCTTGTTGATGCTGGATATGCGTGTGTGTGTGTGTGCGTGTGTGTGTGTGCGCGCACACACACACACACACACACACATATCTGTAAGATAATTGATAGTTTAAGCTGCTCTAGATTGAGAACCAGTAGGCTTGTAGGAGATATTAGACCAGGCATAGAAGTGTACAAATTTTTCTCAGTCACAAGAATTAGTGGAAGATATTACATCAGCTACCTTCATTCAACCTAATCTATCTAACAGGATTATTCTGAATATAAAAGAGGGGATCTGTTCAGCACTTGGCATCCTTTATAAAACAATAGATTAAAAATGAAATTAAAAAGAATAAATGTTTATTGAAACAACTCATATGTTTAAAAAACATATGAAACTATTTTAAAATATTAAATTCACATTTACAGTCTCAAATATTTGCTTTTGTTCACCTCACTAAATTTAGATAGACAACTGATTTTTCAATCAAATGTGGGAATTGAACTACCTGAAATATATTTTTACTTAAATTTGTCATTTCAAAATTCATAGCGTATATGTAATTTTCCCTTTTATCAGAGGTTATGTTTATGTTATAGGTCAATTCAACACCCTCCTCCCCAACAAAAAACCCTTCTATTGTATCATACATTTTGAACACTTTGATTTTGACTGTTTAATCACTCTTAAGGGGATATTTTAATGGAATTGATTTTTATTTTTTAATGTTCATATGTTGCAAAAGAATACTGATAAGTAATTAATTTCTAGTCCTATGTCATTAACAATCTGTACTCTCAGAATTTAGTTCTATATTATTTCAAAAATATTTGTTTTAAAATCAATATGCTTATAAAGCAACTATAGGCAATAATTATTTGTAGACATAATTACTCAAGAGTAACATCCACTGAATACAGTTGGATATAGTTTCAGGTAAGCGTAAGTGCAGTTGGCTGCATCTGTAAACTTAAACAACATTTCACTGAAATAATAGTAAATTATTCTAAAGTAAGCTTTGTAGTTAAGGCTGTGCAATATTTTAGATTTGACTGGAGAAAATTGCTTCAGAATAAGCAAGAGCAGCACATTTAGTCACAATTAATGCAGCCATGTTTGCTTGCAGGATTGCACAATTATGGTAGAAATGTCCCTCGGTAGTCATGTGATCCTGGAAGAAATCACAACTGTTTTAATAAGATGATCCAAAATATTTCTTTCTAACCAAATTTGTAGCAATGCACAACCAAATTTATAGTGTAAAGTTTATACTGAATTAGTCTCATTAAAATTTTTGAAGTTAACTGAAAATGTAGCTGAATTAATGCTATTTTTGTGCTTAGACTACAATCCCTAGTAGCGTTATCCAATGCTACACGAACATGTGAGTTCCAGTATAATAGACTTATTCTCAGGTATATAAGATTGTATGCACAATAAGTCCGTTTATGCTGGTCTAGGACAAAGAGCTGGTCTAGGACAAAGAGCTTGATGTTGATGGTTGTATAGAGTACTCAATAATTGATGTCTATGGAGATTCTCAGTCATCCGGGTCATGATTGTCCCAAAGGTGCTTTTTCAAGAGGCAATTGAACTTTCTGGTTTTTCTTTGAAGATATTTCACTTCTCATTCAAGAAGCTTCTGGGAGCTGAAGAAGCTTCTTGGATGAGAAGTGAAACGACTTCAAAGAAAAACCAGAAAATCCAGTTGCCTCTTGAAAAAGACACCTTTGGTTCAGTAATTGATATTTTTTAACAGTGTAGACAAAGAAGTGTATTAAGGAGATGAGTATCTAATTATTTTGATCGTTAGATGCATGAAACCAGAATTATTCATTATGCAGGATATACAGAAAACAAGCAGTGACTTTTTCTCTCATAAATGTCAGAAGAATGATTGATGGGATTTGTTGCCTCAGTAAATGGCCATTGTCTTCAGGGGCTTTAGAACAAAATTAGACAAATCCATATGAGAGGATTTGTCTAATTGAGAGGAACCAGTTATGGCAGTAAATAGCTTTGAAGGTAAAGTAATGGCCACTACAAATTCCAGAATTAAGCACTAGATGAATTTAGCATTTCATTCAACAAAAGATAACTTCTGTTTTGATATTAGAAATAATTTGATAATTAAAAGATTGATGTTACCATTGTGTTGTTTTACAGGTAAAGATGAACCCAGCAGTTACACGTGTACAACATGTAAACAGCCATTCAACAGCGCCTGGTTTCTCTTGCAACATGCACAGAACACTCATGGATTAAGAATCTACTTAGAAAGTGAACATGGAAGTCCTCTGACACCGCGGGTTGGTATCCCATCAGGACTAGGTGCAGAATGCCCTTCTCAGCCACCACTCCATGGGATTCACATTGCAGACAATAATCCTTTTAATCTTCTTAGAATACCTGGGTCAGTCGCGAGAGAAGCATCAGGTCTTGGAGAAGGGCGTTTCCCTCCCACACCTCCTTTGTTTAGTCCCCCTCCAAGACATCATTTGGATCCACATCGCATAGAACGCCTAGGTGCTGAAGAAATGGCTCTTGCAACCCATCACCCCAGTGCCTTCGACAGGGTGCTGCGACTCAACCCCATGGCCATGGAGCCTCCAGCAATGGATTTCTCCAGGCGGCTTAGGGAGTTAGCTGGAAACACCTCTAGTCCACCATTGTCACCGAACCGGCCCAGCCCTATGCAAAGGTTACTACAACCATTCCAACCAGGCAGCAAGCCACCATTTCTGGCAACACCTCCTCTTCCTCCTCTTCAGTCTGCTCCTCCTCCTTCTCAGCCTCCTATCAAATCCAAGTCCTGTGAATTTTGTGGGAAAACCTTTAAATTTCAGAGCAACTTAGTTGTCCATCGTAGAAGCCACACTGGAGAAAAACCCTACAAGTGCAACCTTTGTGACCATGCATGCACTCAAGCAAGCAAGCTAAAACGCCACATGAAAACACACATGCACAAATCCTCCCCAATGACTGTGAAGTCAGATGATGGCCTCTCAACAGCCAGTTCCCCAGAGCCCGGAACCAGTGACCTTGTTGGCAGTGCTAGCAGTGCCCTCAAATCTGTCGTGGCTAAGTTTAAAAATGAGAATGATTCCAATATTATTCCAGAAAATGGGGATGAAGAAGAGGAAGAAGAGGAGGAGGAGGAGGAAGAGGAGGAAGAAGAAGAGGAGGAAGATTTGACTGAAAATGAAAGGCCAGACTATGGGTTTGGCATCAATCTAGAAGCAGCTCGGCACCATGAAAACAATTCCCGGTCTATTGANTTGAAAAGATCTTTAGCTAGCAATAGAAAAAAGTTCTCCTATAATCAGTGGTGAAATTCAATTTTTTTACTATGGTTCTGTGGGTGTGGCTTGGTGGGCGTGGCAGGGGAAGGATACTGCAAAATCTCCATTCCCACCTCACTCTGGGGCCAGCCAGAGGTGGCATTTGCCCGTTCTCTGAACTACACAAAATCTCCACTACGGGTTCTCTAAAATATTCAAAATTTCCGCTATCGGTTCTCCAGAACCTGTCAGAACCTACTCCCTCCAGGCCAGCATCAAATCTAATTTACAAAAGCACATATAATTTGCACATAAGTTATTTAATGTGTTTTTCAAACTTGCATAGTTTTCAAACTCAGGTAGCATGGTTGAGAATTTGGGGAGTTGAAGTCCACTCAACTTAAAAGTGGACGAGTTTGAAAAACACTGTTATTAAACCACAGAGTACCTGAACATGGGGGAACTAACATGCAAGCCAAAATGCAGCATGCTGTGTTTCTGTTAGTGACCTGGCTGAACTAAGGCAAAATCTACAAGTTCTTTTTATATGATTGCTTCTTGAGAAAACACACATAGTTCCCAGTAGACCAGAGGAAAGACTTCCATTTCCAGTGGTGTCCATAGAATCTTGTTTCTTTTGTTAAATGAATGTAGCATCACAGCATAAACCAAACCTGGGCATTTTATGGCCTTGAGGCCACCTCTGCATTGTCTCGCTCATGTGAGGTGAATTGGAAGTTAGAAACTAAAATGTAAGTGCACCATGGGGGCGGGAGAAGAGCGCACTCCTTTAGATCTGTGGTGGCGTAGTGGTTAGAATGCAGTATTGCAGGTTAATTCTGCTGATTGCCAGCAGTTCGATTCTCACTGGCTCAAGATTGACTATTTTCCGAGATGGGTAAAATGATAACCCAGATCGTTGGGGGCAATAGGCCAACTCTGTAAATCGCTTAGAGAGGGCTGTAAAGCACTGTGAAGCTGTATATAAGTCTAAGTGCCATTGCTATTTCGTCAGCTAGCAAGGCAATGTTTTGGCATCTATGACAGAAAAGTGGTGGTTGGGCTGAAGTGAGGCTGTGCGCTCCCCTTTCCCTCAACATGTGGGTGCTATTCAGTGTATTGCTTCAGCCCTCCACAATAATCCCAATTTCTCATGTGGTCCCTTGGAAATATTAATTGCTCACCCTTCGTGTAAAGTCTGCCTCTTCTGGACATAACTGACATCTTGCAATGCTCCAAAGTTGCCTTCATCAATGTGACTCCCCTTTTCTTCCACCACGAGCCACTGTTGATTTTTTTTCCACTCCCAATACATACACACAACCACACACAACCACAAAGTAAATATTCTTTGTAACCATGTGAAATACCGTATCTTTTGGAGTATAAGACATACCTTTTTCCCTCAAAAAGTGTGAAAATCTAGGTGCGTCTTATACACTGAATACAGCATTTTTGGCCTCCCAATACCCTGCCCCGTCACCAAAATGGCCGTGCATAGCCTTTAGGCGGCTTTCAGAATGCTCCTGGGGGCTGGGGAGGGGGAAAATGAGTGAAAAATGGGCTGGGTTTTTTGCTTGTTTTTGTCCCCCTCCCAGCTCCCAGGAGCTCTCTATAAGCCTCCAAAAGGCTATGCATGCCCTATTTTTTGACAAAAAATGGGCCTGTTTTTGTGAAAAACAGGCCATTTTGGGGAGGTCTGCAGAGTGCAAAACCTTTTTTAAAAAATTTGCCTCTTCAAAATCTTGGGTGTGTCTTATACTCCGGTGCGTCTTATACTCCAAAAAATATAACAGGAAACCATCTCTCTCAACTCGTAACTATGAATCAACATTCTCCCTATATGGTGCTTTTCAAATATATTCCGAAGACCAAAACAATAAAGGACCACAAAAGTATTTTCAAAACAAAAACCCAACCCTTCACATTTGTATTTATATAACAAATTGCACTAAATTGAAAACACAGCATAAATTAAATGATTTTTATGGTGTCTACAGTTCAATAATGTAAGAATTTAACAATTATAAATCATGGTAGAAAGAAATAAATATAACAATTGTACCAGCATTCTCATCACTATTACCAAAAAGAAGAAAAGAAACACACAGTAGTATCCCATAGTTAATACTGATGGGCAAACCTATTTTGGAGACCAATGTTGTAATTTACAAATAACTACAAATAAGCAGCATCTTTTCCTTTTGACCTGGTTGGTACATCTTTGTCCAGAAAGGTTTAGTGGACTATGATTAAGGACTCTTTTGCAATATCCCATCAACAGCTTTCCTCTATCTGGACATCCTCCAGATGTATAGATCAGCTCAAAGAAGAACCAGACCATTGTGAGACCCTGAAGAAGTTGCTGCAAATATAACATCAGAAGTGTGAAGGAAAGGACTATTACTCCCTCCTGCAACCCAATCTAACTCTGATATAGACTAGAACAGTGTTGGCGAAACTTTTCGGCACCCAGAGCCAAAACGAGCAAACAAGCGCATACGCCACAAACCAGAAGATCAGCAACCCGGTGCGCATGTGCATGCTGGGAAGATGATCTTCCGATTTCCGGCGGACCGTCCATTTGGTCTTCCGATTTCTGGCCCACATATGTGCACAAAGAGCAGCTGGCCGGTGCCGGAAACTGGAAGAGCAGCCACTTGAAACGTATGCATGTGCCGGGAAGATGATCTTCTGGTTTCTGGAATGTGAATGTGCAACGGCCACCCGGTCTTCCAGTTGCTGGTGCGCATGCACATGCGAAGACCAGCTGGCTCATACGCATGTGCATTTCAGAAATCAGAAGATCATCTTCCTGTGGCCGCTTTTCCAGTTTCCGGTGCTCCCGCACACGTGAAGACCAGCTGGTCAGTATGCTGGAACCTGGAAGAGCAATAGGCAGTAGTTCACATGCCCAGAGAGATGGCTCTGTGTGCCACTTCCAGCACGTGTGCCAAAGGTTCGCCATCACTGGACTAGAACAAGAGTCAGCCAGGGCCTTTCACAGAGACTTACAGTAGGACAGGAAAAAAAGCTTGTGCTGCACTAATTCCCGTGCTTAAAAGGGAAATGGGACTGGGAACCCTGACTAAGGTCTCTGTTCTTAATTTTATCTCCAATTCCGAAGCTTCCAAATGGCTGCACCAACAAAAAGAAAGATATGCTTTTAAAACCTGTAATTAAATACAGTCCTGATCTGTTTTTTTTAAATTATTATTTCATTAAGCTCCATTACTTAAAAACAGAAAGAAAAAAAAGAGAGACAAGACTCATTGAAGGTTCAGGCAAAAATAGATCAGCCATCTTCCAAATGTATTCATCTTCAAAAATAGGCTATAAAAGTGCAAAACTAGGAAAAGAAATCTAGATTTTATGTACATATGGCTCAGCTTATGAACAGGAAAAGGGTAAATTTTGTACAATTTCCTGATACACAGCACTTCATTCCATTGCCAGTTTTATAGAGATGCATTTTTTTTTTCACGCACAGAAAGTCAGAAAATTAAAACGCTTCCAAAGTTGCTTGCTGGGTGTGAAGAAAATTTCCAAGAATGTCTACCTAGCTTTTGCATATTTACATCTGATAGGAAACACATTCTCAACAGTGCAAAAAAGTATTTTTGAAACCATTTTTGTTCTGGAAACATGGGTATGTCAAACAGAAAATAACATTTAAGCTATTGTTATAAAGGCTTTTACAAAATGCTTGGAACATCCAGCTTCAACATGTACAATTCATTTTTTTCAGCCAGCAAATCATTCTCCTATTCAATTTTCAGTTGTGTGCAGTTGGAAACAAACCAAAAAAAAACCTTCTAGGGTTTTGAAAACAAAACAAAAATAGCAAACCATCTTTCCCCGTTCAATTTATCACTCAACTTTGGGCTGAACTACTTACGAAGTGTGGACAGACAAAAATTACCTCACAAGTCCCCTTTATACACACAATTTTGATTTTGGCAAACCGTGCTGGGCATATGCCTACATTTTTCAAATGAGACCCAAATTGCACACGTAGCGTATATGGGAGAAGTGTGGCTGCAGAATCTCTTTAAGGAACCACAAGCCTCCAATTCAAGGCAACTCCTGTGTGCATCACAGTGTATCTAAAATTTTATCCTGACCCAAAGCAAACAATCTTTGAGATGGGGGCAAGGAGAGGAGAAAAGCAGAGCAACCTGTGAGAATCTTCATCTATGAAGCCATGTGAGGGAGACAGATTGAACCTTCAGTTTGTCAAGTGTATATATGTGTATGTCTGTCTGTAGTGTATGTATGTGTGTATGTATACACATATACATACATACATACATACATGCATACATACATACATACATGGTATTTGAGAGGAATCTTACCTTCCCTCTTAGGCATATGTACACAAGCTATTTACATCTATACATTTTTGCAAAATGATGCACGTGTAGAGGTGAAAATGGCATTTAATATAAGAAAAAGGGGTAAACTGAAATACCCTGAAGGCATACAGTTAGAAACATTCTGTGTTCATTTTAAGAGAGGAATTGTCTTCATGTCAAAGGTCTGAGTAACTTTAATCCCTATACCAGAGGTCTCCAATCTTGTGAACTTCAATTCTCAAGAATTCTGGGAGTTGAAGTCCATAAGTCTTAAAGTTGCAAAGTTGGAGACCCATATCTTACACTGCCTAAGAGTGCAATCAATTAATCCCATTCCCTTATGGAAGTGAAAAATAAAAACAAGGTTCAATTTCAGAAAAGAAAAAAACATGTTTCCAAAGACAGCATGGTCTTTTTTGGTGCAGAATGTTCCTGATACAATCTGACAAGGCAATGATTGTGCTTAAAATGAACCCAAGTTTCATTTTGAAAATTATCTCTTTAAAGAAAAAAACAAAACCTGAAAATATTTAGAGGGAAAAAAACAAACCTCTCTGTATTTCAACGAGGGAAACAGAATGTACAGCTTTACCTGAGATGCAAGGACTGCACGCAACATCAGCAGCACTCACTTATGCAAAATATATATTTAAGTCGGATATTTGGTCTACAGTAATTCTAAGAAAAAAAATATTATTCAAGATTGGGAAAAGATACACGCACACTTAGACAACACTGTCTTGGACAACAACGTTTTACATTGCGCTTCATCCAAACAGGATCAAATCTTCCATTACACAACTGTAGTGTTTTTCCTCTGTGCACAGTAAAATCACAGCTTAGTTTGTTAGCTTCCGTCATTCTATCAATTCTCAAGAGACGAACTGTAAAGGAATTCAAAGTCTGCATCTTCATACCTGGAACACAGGAAAAAAAAAATATTTTCAAACGACTCACAACAGATGCAAAAACAGTACTTTTTAGCATCGTTTCTAGACATTGTAAAGGGATTGATCTTCCTAAAGATTTACTACAAAAAGCAGGAAATATGGTATTGAGGTTTAGGTAAAAATATGACTCTTTGGGGTCGGATTTCATTTTACGTTACTGAAGGTTGCAACGGAAACTGGCCTGTGGAAACTATGATGTGTCGGTTGTAAAGTTACAGTATTTTCCAACAGTTACCTGCTGAGGCCCTGAAATCAAATCTAACAAGTTCTAGTTACAAACCTTAACCTCAAAACCATCTTAGGAAGAAATATCATTACTTTATGGTGAAACAAAAGACACAAATCATACATACTCTGGAAACTTAAATACATAACATTTCTGGGAAGCAAAAAAACCAAAAAACAAAACACCAAACCCCACTCCAATTTTCAGATCATATTATCACATCACCATCGCTATAGGGTGTACATGTAGAGAAGTCCCACAAAGAATATTTACCTATCAGAACAGTTAATATGGCACACTTCCGCCTTAAACACTACTATCCAATAGGATCTTCCTGTTGAAGTCCGCTGGCAGCCTGTGGAGCTAGCAGCAGAGTTGGACAGTGAGGAGGTTGGGGAGGAACATGGGCCAGTTCTGGAGTTTGGGGAAGGCTCGGGTGAGGACTCTGCGTCGGAGGCAGGGGGTGGGTGGGTGGGCAGGGCCATCTGGTAGGTATATGCTGCCTCCGGAGTCTGACATCAGCAGAGGAACAGGGGGAGCCTGTTCCCAGTACGCGCATGCGCAGAGCTGCCCGAAGGCAAGAACCATTAAGACAATAGGGGCAATTCGGGAGTAAGGCTTGGAGGTGATTGGCCCCTCCCATAAGACATAAAAGAGGAGCAAACAGACGTGAGACTTTGCAGGTAGCAATTTTGTTCGTTCTGGTCGGTTTAAACTCTGAAGCTCCGTTTGACTCTATGCTCTGTTTGGCCTTGCAAAACTAATTGGCAATTAGGTCTCTGGCAGAGTTTCAGGGGAGATAAAGAGGGTCTTCAGTGTTAAGGGAGAAGTCTGCCTGATTTCAAAGGGAAGCGTTCTGACCTAGGCTTCCTGAGACAGTAAAAAAATCCTACGCTTAGTTCCAAAGCCCCTCTTTTTATTTAAACCGCTGTGACTTATGTTCATTCACAGCCCATAATGATTACAACCAGTCTGTGAAGAGTCCGACAGAAGTCTGCCAAAGTCTTTCAGGCAAGGCTGATAAGAACCCACTTTTCTCCAAGTGCTGGGATAGGGCGAGATGGACGAAAAGATTTAACGATGGATTTGGCTTTGGTGCCAGGCTTGTGATGTTTGTGGTTTTAATAGATAGATAGGTATGATGTTGTTTTATTCCTAGTGTGGTTTCAACTGTTAGTTGGGAGCTGACAAGAGTTTGATATCAGATGGGCAAGCCATATAAATGTTTTAAATAAATCAGCATCGTTGCTCTTTCTTTTACTATACTTGTATCTTGCCTTTAGAAGATTGTACTGCAATCAAACGCTGTTTGATACGTTAAAACAATCTTTGCCAGGATTTATCAAAGTATGGCCTGTAATTTGGGGGGGGGGGGAGCAAACCAGTAAAGGCAGGGACAAATGACAGGCCTCATCCCTGTAAAATCTAAGCCAGCAGCCTGAAACTAATCAGTCTCAAAAGAGTCCAGCTCTCTAAAGTCCAGAACAGTATATTATGCGTCAAACTCTGTTCTCTGTCAGACCTGGTAGCCATCTTTTTCCTTTGGGCCTTTTAGACCTGCCACATTTTCTACTGTGGGAAAATGGGAGGTGGGGATTATATAGAGCCGCGATGGCTAACCTTTTTGTCATCGCGTGCCGAAAGCGTGCTTGTGTGCCCACACCCCCAATGCAATTTGTGTGTGCACCCATGGGCTCCGCTCCCCTGCGCATGCATGTATCCCCCCCCCATGCACACAACCCCCGCACCCCATTTTGGGCCTAGCAGGACTCCCTGCAGCCTCCTGGGACCAAAAGGGGGTGCAGGGGGCACACCGTGCGGTTGATCTGAGCTGGGGCAATGGCTCAGGTGCCCGCAGAGGGCTCCCTTTGCGTGAGACCTGTGGCATGCGTGCCATAGATTCACCATCATGGATATAGAGTGTGGGTGATATATATATATAGTCAAAATAACATTCTTTCTCAGAAAGTCAAGGCCACCTTGCCCTGTAGCTGCGATGAGGTGGCTGGGAGGCATCTCCAGTTTTGGATGGTGCATTGATTGGATCATGTGATGGACTTGTGGGTGCTGGGCAGAGGCTTAAACTTTCACTTGGGTGGAGAAAATCTGGAAACTTTTCAGATTCGGGTTTTCCCAGATGTGCCGATATGACATCTCTAATAAAATGGAACTTCGAGGAAACTCAAGCCTCGGAGTCTTCTTTCGTTGAGGGTGTTACTTGGAACCCTGACATTCTTTCCTACATGTTTCCTTATTCTTAAAGATAGCAATCGCATTAGCCCAGAATTACACTTTGTCTTCTTGAGCAACTCCTGTTATCCTTTTTGGCTATTTGGCAGCAGAATAACAACCGTGGGAGAAAAGATTTTAGTTGAATGCTCTTAAGACTGCTCTTTAAGTGAAGCAAAGTAGATCTGAATAGAAGCCTAATTTAGATTCCGTCTCTCTCTCCCAGGAAGATATACTGAGAAACAAGCCTCTTAGGAACTATAGCAAGCATTGGGCAGTGATGTGCACTTGGAATTTTGGTTCAGCCAATATTTTCCTACCTAACAGAAAGTGAAAGCACAATAATTTTCTGGACAGGTTATTTTAATGCTATTTTAATCATTTGAGCCCCGCTTAACACATATTCCAGTTATTCCTCTTAACGTTTTGCAAACTGGAGGCATAGAAATTGGGTCCTCCAATCTTAAAAATGGCTATTTGGGATATTTCAAAGGTTACTGCCAAAATCTAATTTTTAAAATATCAGTATAGGAAAATGTGTTAAATGTATGATCTTATTAGCTACATTTAATTGATTATTTCATTAACTTTCAAGTAAAGTCAAATATAATTTTGTTTTGGCTCGCCTGTACTTTGGAATACAGTTCTAGGATACTACTTGGGATCTAGGGTAACTTCATGATCTCCCCAAAATTACACATACTTTAAAATGGACAATTTACCTAAACCTTTAATCCCTCACCAGCTCAGTTTTCGCTGGCAGAGGGTTGCAGGAGGTTGTACCAGCCAAAAACGGAGATTGGAAGCCTATTTTTGCTGGCAAAGCACTCAGGCCACCTTAGGTGCCCCTTACATCAGTGATGTCGAGCTGGCCACGCCCCCCCTCCCCGGTTTCCCAGGTCCAACACAACCCTGATGCAGCCCTCAATGAAACAGTTTGACACCCTATAACTCCCGGAGAACCCAGTCAGCACAGGTATAGTAGAAACTGATGGAGCTGCAATTCAGCAAGACACAGTGACCAGAGGTGGTATTCATTTACTTTCCCTACCGGTTCACAAATGTGAGAGCTCGCTACGCATGCACATGCCCCATCGACACATGCGCATGGCTGTCCATCCACGCAGTTTGCTCTCATGTGTGGCTTGCACGCATGCGCATGGCTTAAACATGCCTAAAAAGACCGTCATAAATCTGGCGCGGGTGGGGCCACCTGCGATTTCAACTACTGGTTTGGGCGAACCAGTCCAAACCAGCTGAATACCTGATAGTGGCTCACGGGTCTTTCAGATAGCACTAAAAATGTAAAATATGTCCATTTGTGTATGAAATGTGCCTTACCATCTGTTGCAGCCAAATCATGTTTTCTTATCATTCAGGCGGCTGTGGGTATTGCCAATGAAGGACTCATAACTTCGCTTTTGCAGCAAGGTGTTAGATAGGTGTTGATATGACACCGGTCTTTTTCCTAGTAAGAAACATTACAACACATGAACAAAGGAATACAAATTAAGACAGGACCTATTCAGTGCAAGATACCTATATCCCAGCAACCTTAAACACTCAAAGAGCCACAAAGTTCACAACCGGAAGTTCCCCTGTTCAATTCTGGAGCCGAACCGGAAGTCCAGTTCCCCCACCACAGAATCTCCTCCTAGCATGCCATCCATTTTCCCCTACCTGTCCTAATTGAAAGGCCTATCAATTGTGGAGCCGATGGGAACCAGAGCCGCAGCAGAGGACCACATGCGGCTCCAGAGCTGCATGGGTTGCTGACCCCTGCTATATCCCATGGCTACATGGGATTACAATTCCGTTTGGCAAGTACTCTTTATTTTAAAGAATGTCTTAATTTCTCCATCATTCATTTGCTGAAAAGCTAACAAAGCACATACCTTCTTTTGAAGAGCTGGGGACGTGGCTGGCACTTGATCCACAGGAACTGGCAAACGGTCCTGGGTTGTATGTTTCATATGGTTTTACAACAGTCATTGGATTCACAGCGTCTCTGTCGGAGCTCATGAGCCCTTGTTTGAAAAGGAGAGAGGCATGCTTGGTGTGAGGGAGCAGACCTGAATATTTGCCTGAAAGAGATAATCTAGCAGTTTCACTCTCTGTCCGATGTCGAGCAGAGTCCATCTGTTCCAGAGCGAAGAGATTAGGCCGAAGTCTTTTTGCAGGCAGTCCATCAAATCCCATATATCTATTCCCGGCCGATCTGTTACTCAAAAACTCTACTTCTCGGCTAGCTTTGTTCAAAGGGTTCTCCGAAGAGCTGTTGATGTCGCTATTGCCCGTCCCTGACAGAGAAGCCAAAAGTCTTGATTTCCCTTTATCTTGCACTGAAGAGCGACCAGGGCTCTGGTGCATTTCCTGCCTACAGTTATTAATCGGGATGCCGATCATTTGAGGTTTGCATGATTTCAAGTTGCTCGGGGACCAGCTGCTGGCGTTTTGTCCTGAGAGAATGGGCCCTTTGCTCTGTGGGGTGGGGCACTGCCTCGCCTTCTCCACAGGCAAAGATTTTGACTGAGCGAGCGAGGAAGATTTGGTTTTCCTGGAATTAAGAGGCAGAGGCAACACGTCCTTGCCCAAAAGGCAAGGTGGGCAGCCTGTACGCCTGGCTTTATGAGCAGCCCTGTTTCTAATGCTATTTTTAGTCATTGCATTGAGGTTATTAGCAGACTTATGCATCAACCGTTGGTGCATGATGAGAACTTCTGGATACAAAGTCCTGAAAGTACAAAAGGGACAGGTGCTGGTTGCTAAGGAACACCGAGAATGAAGAATTACTGGAGCATCCTGAGAAGAGGCGGTAGATAAATTTAAGGGCTTTTCTTGAACTGTTAATATGCATTTTGAGTTTTCGGTAATGTCATTTAAATCCGCCTTCGTCCTGCCAGCATAAAACACATTTTTTGTTAACTCAGAGTTCTTTTTTGCACTTCTATTAACAAGGCTGTTTGCCTGATGTTCCACTGTGTTTTTTGCACCACGTTTTAAAAAACCTGAAACAGATGCACCGCCACCCTCTTTCAAGCCATCACAGTCTAAGGCTTTGCTCGTGTCCTGAGTTAGATTATTGGGCGCACCGTGAAAAGGGTAAAACTCTTCTCTCTGTTGTTTTACAGGTGGGACTACTCCTTTGGCATCTTTGGCGTCTTCAAGGAGCCTTTTCAGATTTTTGGTTTCTGGAGCATGACCGGCACTTACTGACAAGAAGCCCGTCTCCTGGGAAGGAAATAACCCTTTACTGTCACTCTTCAGATCTGCTGAAGCTTCTGTGTGTTTGTCCTTGTGATGTCTCTCTAAATGGTAGCGCAGGGAGGTTTTCTGTGCTGCTGCATACTCACAGAATTCACATTTGTATGGCTTTTCGCCTGCAAAAATAATGAGCCAAGTCAGAAAGCTTCCTTTCTTTTGATTCACCAGAAAACAGGAATGAATTCTGTCCGTTTTCTTTACTGCAACTAAACATCTTAGAACAAGTAATATTTTGCCAGAATAATGGTTTCATTAATTGCACTAATTGGTATTTGGCTTTGATTTCATTTTTAGAAATTAAATGGGATGGTTTGCTTAGCGCAGACAGGGAAAGGGTAAGGACAAAGTAATATTGCGTGTGGTGCCTAAAGCCTTTAATTCTTCTCCTGTCTTTATGCTCATGTAGGACTCATTTGTTAGCCTGCCTGAGGCTTTTTCCAACATTGAACTGCAAATCCTTAATATTTACCTTGCTCAGTTTCCTGGAGATACAAGGCATGTTTCAAGACCTTTAGGCCTCCCAACTGCTAATCACAGCAATTTGCAAAGTAATTCATTTATTTGTCGAATTCATAGCCTCATTTTACTCCAGAAGATAAAGTTGGCCTGAACAGTACTCACTCTTTTCTCCACTCCCACCCTCCCCCATATCTTCCAACCAGTAAGACAGGTTTGGTTGAAACAAACAAAAAAAATTGACTGGTGTGTGTGTGGGGGGGGAGGGGGTTGTTGAGAAATATGCCAACATTCTTGGTATCAGAAGTAATGGAAGTCTTCCCTCCCAACACCAGATTAAAATCCAAACAACTGCAGATCAACTGTGGGCTATAAAGTGAGTTTAGCAAATAGCAGGAACCTTAATATTGCTGTTTTAAAATCTCTCTTAGAAAGCGAACTCTCTTATTTGTTTGTTTGTTTGTATGTATGTATGTATGTGGTAAAGGTTTCCCTTGCACATGCATGCTAGTCATTCATGACTCTAAGGGGCAGTGCTCATCTCCTTTTCAAAGCCGAAGAACCAGGGCTGTGCGAAGACGTCTCCGTGGTCATGTGGCCGGCATGACTAAACGCCGAAGGTGCATGGAGCGCCATTACGTTCCCACCAAAAGGTGGTTCCTATTTTTCTACTTGCATTTTTACATGCTTTCGAGCTGCTAGGTTGGCAAAAGCTGGAACAAGTAATGAGAGCTCACTCCATTACGCGGCACTAGGGATTCTAACAGCCAACAACGGCTAGCCATTTTTGTCACATTATCCAGAAATCTACACGAACAGTTGTCTGATCTCCTCAATAACTCTAGGAAAGTTTAGCTTTTTTACCGTCTCCTTAGATTTGGTGGTCTCTACTGTCAAGGGAAACTTACCCTATTTTCTCAGCATGCAGCAAACTATTTTTCCAATGAGTGTCAAATTTGAATCACATTTGTTTTTTACTTATTTAAAATGTTCCCCTTTTGATTCTTCACCAAAGGCGTAATCCAAGTTTCCTTTACCTGTATGAGTTCTGAGATGAATATTGAGGTAATAGTTTGAACGAAAAAACTTTCCACAGTAGCTGCATTCTCTAGTAGCTCCAAGATTTTTTACTTTTGATCTTTCCAACCCATCTTCATTTTTATCTTTAGATGGGGAAAAAAATAAAGAAAAGTAAGGAACACATTTCTGTACATTGTTACAAAAAAGACATATTGTGCAATAATTGGGCAACCTCTGTAATTATTTGTTCATTCATAGATATCTTTTTTGAAAATATTCTTTTGTTTTAAACAAAAGTAAGTGAACAGGTTACTGTTAATGTACTTCGTAAAAGGGGAAAATGAACATGTATCTCTATTTATATCTGTATATCCGTATGCCGCAAAATTGTTAAATAAAAAAACTGAATGGAAAAAATAAGACATGATAACAGGATTTGGTTTGTTTTGCAAAGATATCTCCCAAGAATACAGTGCTCCTGACTCTCTGGAGTAAAATTAGATTTTACTCTAATTGAGGCCTACTGAATTGATATTTCTGGGAGGGAGGGAAAGAAGAAGGGAGGGAAGAAGGAGGGAAGGAAGGAACAGTGAAAGGGAGGGAGGGAGGAAGGAAGAGTCTTTCTCTCTCTCAACACACACGTTTTTGTCAGTATTTTATTCACATCACTCACACTTGCTCAGTATATCTTGTATATCTAATCCACCATCTTCCTCCAACCCTTTAGAACGTCTCAATTCAATGGTATCACACAAAAAGATTCCACCATGGAACAGATTTTAACCATGACAGTGGGATACAAAGGTGTGCAAAAGTTTAGTCACCTATGGTCAAACTGTTTCAAAGGATTGCAGAAAGACCGTAAGATGCACAGCTTCTACAAGGCACATTATTAAAGGTAACATCTTTGTTGAAACACATATGCCAATTATACACAGTTGGTTTTTTTTTAAGGAATTATGAATACGCCAAGTCCAAAAGTTTGGAGACTCCCAGTCAGTTCTAACAATCTCTTGCTAGAAAGAGCAGCTTCCAAAACTTTTCTCTGGCTAACTAAGAATCTTTCTCTCCCACTTTTTGGATGTTTCCCCCGGTCTTTCTTGCAAGGTTCAAAAATATTCTTAGGTCTCTTTTGCAGGTCTCTTCATCATACAAAAGTCCACAGTGCAGGTAATCCTCAACTTACAACAATTCATTTAGTGACTGTTCAAACTTAAAATGGCACTGAAAAGTGACTTATGACCATTTTTCACATTTATGACCATTGCTGCATCCCCATGGTCATGGGATCAAAATTCAGATGCTTGGCAAATGACTCATATTTATGACGGTTGCAGTGTCCTAAGGTCACGTGATCCCTTTTGTGATCTTCTGAGAAGCCAAGTCAATGGAGGAGACAGATTCACTTAACAACCATGTCACTAATTTAATAACTGAATTGATTCACTTAAGAAATGTGGCAAGAAAGGTTGTAAAATGAGTCAAAATTCACTTAAGAAATATTTCGCTTAGCAACAGAAATTTTGGGGTCATTTGCAGTCGTAAATCGAGGACTATTACATCCAACTCTGGGTCTTGTGAAGTAGTTTTGAGTTTAAAGACTGCAACAGCAAGCAAAAAGACTATTCCCATGCCTTCAATTAGTTCTTTTTCTTTGATACTTATTAAAGATTTATTAATTTCCCCCAATACATCAACTGCTTTTAAAACTAGAAAGCTAAGATTGCAAAGCAAATTTTAATTTTACTATGGAATGATATTTTTTCGTTTTAAAAAATTTCTTTCCATCTGAAATATTTTTAAAGACCCGGATATCCAGATAGTACAACTAGCATTTTATATTATAAATGCCCTCTAGGAAACAAAAAAGACATTGGTGGGCTGAGAGATTTTCACTCCTACACAGAACCATTGCATCTAAAACAGTTGGGGCATAAAAACAATTGACATCTGGGCACAAGAGACAGATATTTTTTTTTTTGCAAATTCTTTTTCTCACATGGACGCACAGGTACGCAACACCTTAAAAATATGCAGTGGCATTTGGCAGGCAGATTTCAGAAACAACTCAGGGAAGTACAGCCCTTCAACGCAACTGTTAAGTAGTGATTGGATTACTTTTTCAGGTTGCATAGCCACCCGCCCAGAGAACACAATTTGTGAGTTTACACTCTGCAGGATTTAATCTGAAATGCAGATATCAGGATAACAACAGATAACATATGTACTAGGAAGAATTCTAAGCAGGATGGGATAGATGGATAGCTGTTTTAATTACAAGTGGGAAAATGAAGTTTTGAAGAGCCATTGTTCAAGATGAAGCAAGCACAATGATAAAGTCATTTTTAAAACCATTCCGCAGCCGTTACAAAACATCATGGCAAAACATCTTGTTTAATTTTTATAACTGGCAACCTCACATCTCACTGCCTTATGTAAATCCTGCATTATTTAAAAGAGAATTAATTCTACTTAATTTTAGGGAAGAATCCTTCTAAACTAGAATGATTTCCCAAGCTGAACACTGGAGACAAGTATTTGTTTCTTCAATTACCCTTACCACATTTTTATTTATCTTATAGTATTTGTGCTTTGTTCTCTACTCTGTGAGCTGCCCAAATCTCAATATAGAATCACCAAATCATCAAATATTGACGAATTAATTAGCATGCATTGCTCAAGGTTTATCACTAGAGGGCAGCAGGCACCGTATTATGCTCATTTGAACTTGTTTCAAGCTGTAACTGCATTGAAGGTTTGATTAACAGAAGTGATTATAGAGGTGAGGCAAGAAAAATAATGGTTGTTTTATAAAAAAGGACCTATGTGGCTATCTCAAAACTGCCAATCTGTCCAAAGTACAAAGCAGGATATACATAGTTTTTGACTTACAAACATTCATTTAGTGACCATTTGAAATTAAAATGGCACTCAAAAAAGTAACGAATGACCATTTTGCACTTATAACCACACTGCGGCATTCCATAGTCATTTGATCAGAATTTGGATAACTGGCATGGATTTAAAACTGTTGCAGAGTCCTGGAGTCATGTTTTTGCAACCTTCTGACAAGCAAAGTCAATGGGGAAGCCAGATTCACTTAACAACTGTGTTACCAACTTAATAAATGTGGCAAGAAAGGTCATAAAACTGAGCAAAAATTTACTTTAAAAATGTCTCAATTAGCAATAGAAAATTCTGGCTCAATTGTGGTTATAAATTGAGGATTACCTGTATTGTATAACAACGGGATTTATTGGTATCTTTAGGTGAGTCGTCTCACCTGTGATAGGGGAAAAAACCCTAAAAGGTCTAGCATTAAAGGATTGAAAATATCCATCTGTCTAATCCTCCATTACACTATATTTTTATACAATTCTACACACCAGTGTCATACCTATATGAAATGTGCTATGCGTTTCAAGATTAGGCACACATCTTTCCATTTGGTGTAGATGCAAATTATGCCATGACTTAAAACTAGTGTAAGATGATGGTGTGATAATATCCCTTGGAAAGCAGTTAACAAAACATGCCTCCCTCCAGATTATCTTTGACACAGATACTCTCTTATGCTGGGGTGAAATCCACTTACCTTCACTACAGGTTCGCAAATGTGAGCGCTCTCTCTCACTCTAGTTGCACGCACCACCTCCACGCATGCACAGGAACTTCTGTGCATGCGCAGAGCATAAAAAAATGGACACGATGACATCCGGGCAGGTGGGTGGAGCCTGCTACTGAGTGCCCCTGGGAAGCTAAGTAGAATAGCTGGGGGGGGAGAGGGTTTGCGCTGTGCCACACGATTTAGATTAGCTAGAAAGCAGGAAAGCTTGCTTTCTAGCTAATATAAATTACACACCACAGCTGATCGGCGAAGCATTTTTTTACTACTGGTTCGGACGAACCGGTAGCTTCTTTTACTATCGGTTCGGGCGAACCAGTCCGAATCTGTAGCATTTCACCCCTGCGCTAAATGAAAAAAATACATTTTTATTGTGAACAGTTCTTAAATTGTCTTACCTGGAGTCTCTATTATCCCATCCTCGGAGCCGTCTTCAGACCCTCCCTCCAGTCGTTCAGCTCCGTTCTCATCCAGGGTCCCAGGGTCGGAAAGGCAGGTTCTCGGCTGCTTCCCTTCCCCACAACCGCTTTCTAGATCATTCTTCCGCTCTTTCTTATTATGGACTCGCGAGTGAAGGACAAGCTGGTGGTACGTCCGAAAGGCTTTGCCACAGTCTGAACAATGGGTAGGCTTGTCTTTGTTCTGGGACAGTTTAGAATCCATATGCAATGAAGGCACTTCGCGGCAACGATATTTATTAAATTTGTCCTGTGGCATGTTTCCAATCCCTGCGTAACTTCCACCTCTGCTTCCCTTGGTCTTTCCGGTGCTTTCAGTCTGGTTTGCTTTGCTCCCGTTCCAAATCTCCCCAAGTTCTTCTTTGTCCGAAGACGAGTCATCGTTGTCCGTGCTTCCTTCTTGACCTGCCTCTTTTGTTTGCCCGTGGCCAATAGCCACTTTACCTTTAGTAGCCAGCTGCCATGCCTGATAGGTACTGAACGGATCCAACTCGGCAATCCATTTCACGGGCTTTTTCTGTTTGCTGTTATTAGAAGTTGAAAGTGGCTTTAGGTTTAAAAACTGCAGAAATTCTTCTCTGGGTGTCGTCCTTTCTTCACCGTCCCCTTCCGAAGGAGAGCCATTGCCGTTGGCTAGAGAATCTTTGGTATGTACTTTGCTGTGCTCGATTAAACTTTCCTTATTCTGAAATAGAAAGCCACACACCATGCAGATTTTATAAGGGGATGTTATGCTTTCTGCCACTTGGTCCTGAACGACCTCATTTATCGTTACGGGGCTCTCGGATCCTTGCAGCGCCTTGCTGCGAGACCCAGGTTTGCTGTTGTGAGTCCTCATGTGATTTTTTAGGAACCAGGGCTCCTTAAATCTCCTTCCACACACACTGCACCAGTAAGTGAAAGAATCCTTGTGCTTCCTCATGTGGGCCTCAACATCAAAGGCCTCATCAAATGTTTGCCCACAAACCACACAGCTGAAGTCTTGGCTATCCTTTTCATTTACATCCAGGGATGGCAAATCAATTCTCCCTTGTCCTTTATCAAGATGGCTAACATACTCCGCTTCCACGCACAAAACCGCTGGTTCACAGAGTGTGGGCCTATGCTGGGTTAATACATGCTTACCGAGATCTTCTGGATGCTTGAAAGTCTGTTCACAAAACATGCAGTCTAAAGAAACACATCCTTCGCCTTGCATCAAGAACTTATCTTGCAAGTTCTTATAGGAGATTGTGTTGGCTCCTTTCACTGGCATGGTGGCATCATTATTGTCCATTCGTGAACCAACAGTACTGGCTATACTTTCTGGGCCATCCATGTACACCAAAAGAGGCTGAGTTGGCATGTTTCCTTTGGCAGTTTCAAGAAGAAGCATCAAGTTGTTTTCATGCAAGAAATAGAGCCCCTTCGGAAACTTCCCAGTTGTTTGATGGCAGATGTTTGAGCCTTGATGACTCCTTCACGAGAGGGTTGTTGGGTATTCTGCTCATCTGTAGAAGTAGCTAACCTCTGCCAGGAAGAAATATTTTCATAAAAATTGTTGCTAGCTCCTGTATGAAAGAGGTGGAATTGCTTATGTTGTTCTGCAGTTTATGTAACTTGCTTTCAGCAAAACCGGTCTGTTCACATCTCCGAGTTTAATACTTAAGAGCTTTTTAAGCTTGAAGAAAATTGCTGTAGTTCAGAATCACCAAAAATGTCACCATCTATGTGAAGAGAATTTGAAAACAAATTGATGTTAGCTTAGGAATAGAAAAGAATCAATAAAATCATTTGAAACAAAAGGACTAATATATTTTTATGATACAAAGTATTCTTTCTTCCACAGTGCTTTTATACAGTGCAATTTAGTCAGAAGGCAATTCCTGTGTTCTTTTGACACTAATATACAATGTATGATTAACAGTTTCCCAACACACTTTTAACAAGCGCTCCAATGTAATCTAAGTTTAAAGATGTGCAATCCAGCTACACATTCAGATTTTACTAAATATTTATCTTTAAAATGATGCAATTATCAAAGGAAGTTACTAATCTCTGCAAGGAAACTGCCTTAGGGAGTTACTGTAGAACATTATCTCCAGCTCTCAGTCATAAAGAAGAAACTGCCTCTGTGAAAGAAACAGGATAATTATTCAGCCATTACATTTGCAGAATCCTAGAAGTCCACATTATTATCCTACAAAAAAAAATGTAGGAAATCCCATTTTTAGGAATAATATTCTCTTATTACAAAACCATTTAAGAAGTTATTTTATGCGAGCCTTTCTGTCCCAGAGCACACTGAACCATTTGTAAGGGCTTAAATGTTTCTTTATAAAATAAAATGTGTTCCTTTTTAACAAGTTTAAAAGAAATCTATCTTAAAAAGAAAAGAAAAAAGTATTTCCTCATGACAGTTATCAGCTGCCATTTTGAAATCATGTGGCCACTTCAAATGCCAGCCATTTGGAAAGCTTGTTTATGCCCCTTTGAATACTTCTAAACTAATCCTTAGCTTTAAAACAATTTGTTTTATACAATTAAATATGAATTTGGATGCCAATTAAAAATAGTAACTTGAATATGAAACTTATGTGGGAGATAAACAAGCACAGGGGAAATACTTGATATTTATTGTCTCTCAATAAATAGATCAACTACTGAAACACACATTTACTGCAGGAAAGATGGATAACAGCTAAACAATATGCAATGTATAAATACTCTAAATTAGTGTAACAGCATTTAGCATAATCCTAAATAATTTTGTATAATAAAAGTCATCAACACATGACTTCAAATTTTCAAAAGTTACTTTTTCTTCTTTTTTACTGTCCAGACGCCTTAAGTAAAAAGAGATTTATTTTGGGAAAAAGAATGTTTTTCTAAAGGCTAATAAATCTGATCCAATTACAAGTATTATATGCATCTTTCCTTTGATTTTAATCTACATATCATTTGGCATAAATCAAAATAGGACTACAAAAACAGATGCAGATATTCACATAAAAATATTCATTAGCACACACATATTTCGAAATACCAACCAAGTGAAAAGTATTACTGAATCTGAACCATATTAAATATTCTACTTTGATGTTACCTATTATTTTGGCACAATCAATACATAGATGTAGATAAGAGATATTGACCTATAGATACCCATTCAATACACATGTCACTTAAATCTATTGGTCTCAGGATACCTTCCTACTTTAACAAATTATGGAGGACCCCTTCCCACATTTAAAAATAGAGAAGTTTTGCTTGTATGGGCTTTGTTTTTACCGTATTAAAATTAAAATGGATGCATTTATAGAATATTTATTGAATCCTGTAAAAAGAACAATATTAAATTCATAATTTTCATGAAAAAACTATTGTCAGATTTTTTTTTAAAAAAGTATGACACTCTTAAGAAACACTGTCCTAAACAATTTAAAGTGGCTTTCGTAGAATGCCAGAATAACACATGTCTCATCTTATATCCCTGAAGGAAAGAAAGATTATACTATGTATTACTTGCTTCTGATCATAATCCTCTTTTGCAACATTGTAAATTAGAAGGTACTATTATAAAATAAGATGGTTTAATAAGTGAATTGCAATATTTGAGCAATTTTCCAAAAAGGAACTACTATTTAGTTCCCAAAATCCATCTTAAGAAGATAGGTTAGTTTACTGAAGTAAATTACCAGTATCAGCTAATGTGGCAGATGAACAAAAGTATCTGCTATCAACATCTTGACCCAGGTATAGCCTTCTCAGATCTTGCCATCTTCCCAATAGGGGAAGATGGCATATTGGAGTTACTGAGACTTGACTCCAAGTCTCAGTAACTCCAATATTGGCTGGAAATTCTAGGAGCTGAAATCCCAAGATCTGGAAAATTCTCAAATACATTTTCCCCTCCTTTTCTATAGCACAGATACATTCTATATCATTCCCTTCTTACCAAAGGTGCTTTTTCAAGAGGCAACTGGACTTTCTGGTTTTTCTCTGAAGACATTTCAAGTTCCACTTCTCATCCAAGAAGCTTCTTCAGCTCTGGCTAGATGGTGGGGAATGGAAGGATTTATACTCTTGGTAGACAGCTGGTCATTTGCATTCTTTTAGAGAGTCCTTGAGGCTAATCTGTGTTATCAGGATCACCTGAGTAGTGCAAATGGATGTAACTGTTGAAAGGACTGTATTGTACAATGGAGATAGGTGATGCCTTATCCCTCCCCCTCAGTTGAGAGGGGGCTGTTCAATAGATACCTCTTTGATCCCTCTTTCAAACTAGTTGTCCTTTCTGTCCAAAATGTGGACTTTGCTGTCCTCAAAAGATCGCCCTTTATCTTTTAAATGCAGATGGACTCTGAATCTTGTCCTGATGGGTTTGTTCTCATATTCCACTTCCCATTATCCAGCCACAGCTGAAGAAGCTTCTTGGATGAGAAGAGAAATGCCTTCAAAGAAAACCAGAAAGTCCAGTTGCCCTTGACAAAGCATCTTTGGGACAACCATGACCTGAATGACTAAGAATTTCCATAAATAGCAGTAGACTTATATACCGCTTCATAGGCCTTTCAGCCCTAAGCGGTTTACAGAGAGTCAGCATATTGCCCCCAACAATCTGGGTCCTTTTTTACCCACCTCGGAAGGATGGAAGGCTGAGTCAACCCTGAGCCGGTGAGATTTGAACCGCTGAACTGCTGATCTAGCAGTAGCCTGCAGTGCTGCATTTAACCACTGCGCCACCTTGGCTCCTAAACCCTTCTCATCAGAGATAACCAACATTATTTGACCCTTTATTACTTTCAAACCATGAGACCTTCCTTCCAAGGGCCTCAAAGTAGAATTCATTTAATATTCCCACTCTATGCCATCATTTTACCTTTAAAAGTAGTACATAGTACAAATACAAACTGATACAAAATTGTTGAGTCAACCTTAAAGCTGATGTAAGATAGTTTGGTTTCTCTATACCTAATCCTTAGAGATGCACAGTAGTTTGATTCATTTAAATTTATATTCAATTAGAACAGTGTATGAACCCAGCCTTTTATCATTTGTAAACCAGTTTATTATGTACTGCAGTACAAACTATTAACCAACTATGGTTTATTCAATAACATCATGGTAAAAGCAGTTATGTAAATACAGTAAAGAGACCTGATCCTTTGATCACTAGACTAATTCTTCAACAATCCGCATTATCAACAGCATTGTCTGTTAAATATTAGAAATCTATTATATTTTGAGGTCTACAATTTTCTTAGCTCTATGTGTGTGTGTGTTACACAATTAGAAATTTTTGTGACAGACAGGTTAATGGGTACTGTGACGGTTTAAAGTTATTCTTCTGCAATCCAAAATAATCCTACCAAAAGTATAAATCACATCACGAAATTTGAGTGGATTGAAATTTAAAGCTTCTAATTACTACTGAATTAGCAGCCAAAGTACTCAATGTGCATTTTATTCTAATATACAATTTCACTACAGCCCTTTACAAATAAATAGCCCAGATTTTCCAAATGCAGTACAAGTAAACTTCAGGAAGTATGTATTATGTGGGGTTGTTTTTCCCCCCCAAAATCAATGTAACATTAAGCCCCTTAAAATCAAATCATGGCTTTCATAATAAATATCATCTCAATCTTAAGAGTGAAACATTTTAACAAGGACAGATGACAATTATATTAAAAAGGCATATTTGTAAAGTCCAAAAAATAAGTAGCCTTAGTTAGTGCCTCTCACACACACTTCTCACAAATCCTTTAGAAGCAGGAGCTAAGCTTTTTATGTAGAGGTAAAACCAGTATATTAAATCAGAATAGAGCTGGAAGGGACCTTGGAGGTCTTCCAATCCAACCCTCTGCTCAAGCAGGAGATCCTATCCCAGTGATGGCGAATCTTTTCGGCACTAAAAGCCCAAACTGGAATGCATGCACATCTGCGTGCTGGGCCACCTGGTCTTCGGGTTTCCGGTGCACATGCCGGTCTTCGTGCGCAGACCAGCTAGCCGGTGTGCATACATGCCCTGGAAACCAGAAGAGCAGCTGGCGATGGCGCACATGCCCACAGAGAGCGCTCTGTGCGCCACCTATGCCACATGTGCCATCATGGCCCTATACCATTTCAGACACATGACTGTCCAGTCTCTTCTTAAAAATCTCAAGTGATGAAGCACCCACAACTTCTGAAAGCAAGCTTTATCACAGACTATATTGACAACTGAGACTATGCTGTAATTCAGTATATTTTTGCACTTTCAGGAGTCAACTTTGTATTTAGAACATTTATATTCTATGATCTGCATGAGTTCAGCAGATTTTTAAAATATGCGTAATATATTTTAGTGCTCAGAGAAATAAAGATAGTGCAGTCTCTCTCAGCCATAGCAGCCATCAATCTCTCTTCCGAAAGGGCAAGCAAATTACACGTCTTTTTAAAAATACAACGGCCATAATAATTTTGGGAGGCTTTCTTTTTAAAAAGAAAAGCTGAGATTTTCAAGAAGCTTAATTATATGTTCAATACTTTTCAGAACGATGGCACATATCCATGTACATCACCCTAAAGTGACAAACATGCTGGGGGGTCAATTTAACTCCAATATGTAATGGACAGTGGAAACAGGGTGGAAGGTAGCAGGGAAAAAGAATGGAGAAAACCCACTTTTTTTCTGAGCTAGACTTTTAGATTATGTGAAACTGTGCAGTTATGTGCTTTTTTT